CTGTAATCCGCAAACGAACTATACCGACCGAGCGACCGGCTCTTTTCGGCGAAGTTAATGCCAACTTTTGCCGATAGAGGATGTCACGTGGTCAGCACAACGGATCCCCACGGCCGTTAATCTCGGTTTTCTAGACCGAAGTCGTTATTTCCTTGAAATAGCTTGTGAGACGTCGAGGATCTCACATTTTCTAGATAATCGGCTCATAGATGGCGGTGAGGTCGTTAGCCTTACTCACCGGCCGGCCGCCCGTTACCCCAGGAAGATTCCTGGTACTCATTTCTGTTAGAGGCTGAGCCTATCCCAGGGCCATAGTGCGGCTGGAAGGATTAGGTCAATTGAAAAATTCAGTAACCTCATTGTGAATTTGACCCGCGGCTATTCTGCTTGTAGTATAGTGCCTCTACCAACTACGCAATCGGGTGTCCCATACGGGATAACACACTTTTCAACATTCTATTATTCATGGCCACATAAATACAGTTCGATATTTCCAATGCTTGGAATTGAAGATATTTTCATACGTTTTCAACTCAGATGACTTTTTCTTAAGACAATTACCACTGTATTACTTACTCATGGAGCTGAGCCCTTCTGGAGGAGCCGCCAATTCTGCAGCTACTCAAGAATTTCCCAGCATTTTATGGAACCCGAAGGCACATTACCGTGTTCACAAGAGCCCTCCACTGGTCCATATCCTGAGCCAGATCCATCCAATCAATACCATCCCATCCTATCTATCTAAGATCCATTCTAATATTGTCCACCCACCTACGCCTTGGTCTTTCCTGTGGTCTCTTTCCTTCTGGCTTTCCCACCAATATCCTATACGCATTCCTCGCCTCCCCATTCGTGCTACATGACCTTCCCACCTCATACCACTATATTATTTGCCTTAAATATATATCGATTCTGCTATGTTCGAATCCTAGGTCTCTTAAATGGAAGGGTGAGAACTTGAAATAATGACCTTAAGATAAAGAACCTTAAAGTGATATATACAACGGTATAAAGTTTGGTACTTTCTAATCAAGTTTCATGAAGACTTTAAAGTCCTCTCTCTCTCTCTTTCTAGCTTAAGTAACATGTACCGAGTTCCGATTTGCTTCCAAGCCACTAATCATCGAGGGTAAAATTCACAGTGAAGAAACCTCTGGCCTATAATCAGATTTACGACCATTAATTTTCATTTGCGGAACTGAAGTTCGTAGTAATGTCAAAGGAAGCTAAAGTTACCACGTAATTAATTAATTAATTAAACAACCACGCTATGAGGGGAGGTATAGTAGCCCTATTCTTGGGATCGGCTCTACATTGAGGTGAGTGGTCAGCTTCACGTCGTTATCACTTTACCGGGGGGGGGGAAATTATCACCCGTACCCATTGGATAAGAGGATGGGTGGGCCCCAGAAACGGTCTGGACTCTGCAGCATAAATACAGATTTCTGGTCCCTACTCATAATTAAATCCTGGGCCGTACAGAAAGTCCCTATACTCACTGAGCTATCCCGGCTTGGTAGCAATGCCATTAGACCTTTAATAGATATTTTTAATGTTAATATTTCTTTGTAACTGTTAGGACTTAAAGTGCTTAAGGAAGATATTTTAATATCTACATAAAATCCGGAATAAAATGTAACATAAATTGAACCTTTAAGAAAATCAGACGGCGGAATATCGGAGGATAAACATAAAACAGAGAATGGCGGTGGACATAGGCCACTCATTGCATTAAGATTTCCTCTCGGCACTAATTTTATGTCCCACCAGATCGACTTCACAATTAACTGCGGTTTCGAGTCCTTCCTATGCACTTACATTTGTCAATGCAGTTCTACTTTGTGAATTCTGGTTAGTGATGAAGCCAAGGAGGATAAGACTGGCGGAGCATATAGCATGCATGGCAAAGAAGAGAAATGCATATAGGAGTTTAGTTACAAAACCAGAAGGACCGCGTCATAGCTCAAGCGGTTAGTCGCTGGCTTCTCACGGCGGCGGCCCGGTTTCGAGCCCGTGTCTATACAAGTGGAATTTGTGGTCGACAAAGTGGCGCTGGGGTGGGATTTCTACGAGTACTTCGGTTTCCCCTACCAATCTTCATTCCACCAAATTCTCCATCATCATAATCACTCAGGACAGGCTACAATAGGACAATCAGTGGCCTCCGTGCCGAGTGGACACAGTTGGACTTCACCCCACACTAAACGAATTTTAATTTTTTTTTTTACAAAACCAGAAGGAAAGATACAAATAGGAAGATCTAGATATAAGTGGGAAGATAGAAATAAAACGGATATTACAGAGATTGAAAATGTTGGTATAAACTTAATTGCTCTACCTGAAAATAGAGGCAAGCGGAGGTCTGTTGTGAAGATGGCAATGAACCTTCGGATTCAAATAAAATGTTTGGGAAATTCCCAGGTAGCTGAGCAACTGGCGGCTTCTCAAGAAGAGTGTAGATGCATGGAGTTAATTTTCAGTTAGGTCTTGAAAATCATTTTACAACATCGAAAATTGGACAGACCACAAACTGCTATATCGTTGCATACTATTGCTAGACTTAATTCATTATAGGATTAGTAAATTGGGGAACTGGAATTATACACGTATAAATCAAAGCCGATGAGAGCAGAATTAACAGGACTCTCACAGTCTTGGGATCATGCAAGTTTAATTTGCGCCATCTGAATTGTCAAGTAGAGTCGTGAGAAGGGGAAGAGGTGGGAGGAAAGGGGGGGTGGGAATTAATCCACAGCCACAACTTCCTGAATTGCAATACGTAAGAAACAAATTTAATTTTAAAAAAGTAATTTAATCTCAGAAGTCAGAACTTATTTAATAAAGATAGAATCTTAAATGACTGCGTTGCATGATAAAACAGTGATTGGAAGAGCGAGAGACATGATGTGGCAGAAAATATGCAGCAGAATTATTTAAAGAGAGAACACAGCATGAGATCCATTCAGTTGTAAGATGAAAATATGTTCAATCAAAATTTCATCACCGTTTATTAATTCCTATTTGTCCGTGGTTTATTTATCTCGCTGTAGTAATAGCAACTTTATTCAGTAACATCGATTTTGATTGGCGGATGTTGTTAGCCTACTTTGTGCTTTGTTTTTTATTGCTAGAGGGGTGGGACTAAGTCCCTAGTACTGCGGCCACATATAGCCTATTGTACCAGCCCCAGATGATAGGTGAGTGTGATTGTGGAACAATTGGTGGAATGAAGATTGGCAGGGGAAACCGGAGTACTCGGAGAAAACCTGCCCCAGCGCCACTTTGTTCACCACAAATCCCACTTCACCAGACCCGGGATCGAACCCGGTCCCCCGTGATGGGAAGCCAGCGACTAACCGCTTGAGCTATGGCGTGGCCCTACTTTGTACTTACTTACTTACTCATGGAGCTGAGCCCTTGTGGAGGAGCCGCCAATTCTGCAGCTACTCAAGAATTTCCTAGCATTTTATGGAACCCGAAGGTTCATTACCGTGTTCACAACAGCCCTCCACTGGTCCCTATCCTGAGCCAGATCCATCCAATCCATACCATCCCATCTTATGTCTCTAAGACATATTGTACACCCACCTACGCCTCTGTCTTCCCAGTGGTCTCTTTCCTTCTGGCTTTCCCACCAATATCCTATATGTATTTCTCTTCTCACCCTAATTAAATATGAAGTTTAATTATTTTTCTATTTACTGCCCTACAGTAATTAGTAATGAATATGCATATGGTTATGCAATGGCTCAGACGGTTGTTAATTGGCTTCCTATTGCCGCAGCCAGGGTTCGATCTCAGGTTATGTGGGATTTGTGGTGGACGAAGTGGCACTGGGGCAGGTTTCCTCCGAGTACTTCGGTTTCCCCTGCCAATTATCATTCCACTAAATTCTCGATACTCATATATCATCCGGGGCTGGTACAATAGGCCACTTAGTGACCAACGCACCAAGTGGACTCAGTCTTACCCCACTCCACGAAATTAAATTTTGTATAGATATTTTGCCATGGTTGCATATTTTTGTAGTGCCCAGGTTATGCCTAAAAATTCNGTTAATTGAAAAATCCAATTACCTCATGGGGACTTGAATCCGAGACCTTCCGACTTTTAGAATAGTGTCTCAACCAACTACGCTGTCACGTGTCCCGTGAAATATAGGCTGCTGGAAGTAAATTACTTTGTTGGTTAAATGATAGTCACGTTGAGAAATGCATTTTCAATTGAATTATTTCTTTATTTATGTGATTACTTAACATCCAGAAGGCCGACTATAAAATAAGCACGATCAAAAACAACACATACACACAGATAAAGACAGAACAACGTAACAAGTATCATTTATACAATAACAATTCAATTGTTGCGATCATGCTAACAATGATGCGATGAGAAGAATTATGTATTTTTTGTTACGAATCGTAACGAAAAAGTAATATTTAAAGTCATGTTTCATGTACCACAATTTCATGGAGTCTTAATTAGAAAACTAAACATAAAATTATGCACGTTACAGGGCGTTTCATGAGAATGGAAATAGAAAAGTGCTCTAAAATACCAAAACAAATATTTTGTGTTTCAAGATGGCTGATTAATGGTAAGAAATATTAGTATTACAATGCAGTGGTTCCTAAAGTTCAAGAGATTTTAAATGAATGTTCTAGATTCTTGTTATTTTATTCTTTCTGGAAACTGCACAATGATGAACTTCATAACTTGTACTCTTCTCCAAGTATAATTAGAATGAGCAAGTCAAGAAGGATGGGCTGGGCATGTAGCACGAATGGGGGCGTCGAGGAATGCGTATAGAATATAGGTTGGAAAGCCAGAAAGAAAGAGACCACTGGGAAGACCAAGGCGTAAGTGGGTTGACAATATTAAAATGGATCTTAGAGAGATAGAATGGGATTGTATGTAATGGATTGATGTGGCTCAGGATAGGGTCCGGTGGAAGGCTCTTGTGAACACAGTAATGAACCTTCGGGTTCCATAAAATGCTGGGAAATTGTTGAGTAGCTGCAGAATTGGCAGCTCCTCCAGAAGGGTTCAGCTCCTTGAGTAAGTAAGTAAGTATTCTTTCTGGAAATATATCACTGGTCACGCCGATATGTAACGGGTATATTTCCCAGTGAAATTCTATTGAGACGTAGGTCTAGCAACTTCTGTGAACATGACAAGAACCAACAAGGAAAATTGGGAATATTTTTTATTCCAAAATGGCTTTCGCATCTCTTCATTTTGAAATGAATTATATATATATGAATTTAGTTAACCGCCAACACAAGAAATATACTCGCTTTTAATATTTTACATTTCGACTTTTTATTCCTTCTACATGTTTCGTTCGTAGAAGACCAGCATCAGGTAATTATATACGACACGTTACACTGATATGAATCCATATCAGTAGTTCAGTAACTAAACGTATTCCTGATGATGGTCTTGTACGACCAAAACATGCAGCAGAAATAAAAAGTAGAATTGTGAAACATTAAAAGCACAACATTTGTTGTGTTGATGGTTAACCTAATTCATATATATATTGGTTTGAATTATTGACTGGATTAGGGAAACAGCGACATCCAAAGGAAATGTATAGATACAATGCATATTGTAACAATTACGGGTTGCGAGCCGGAGTAGAATTTTGTTTGTTCCACATCGTGGTACTGCTACTGAAGACGGACAGGAACTTACAGACCGATCTCATGAGTTTGCTTTCGAATTACATGAAATGACAATGACACAATATCTCATATACACAAGATACAAATATCTGAACCTGTACTTATTCAAACCACAACCAACAGCGATGAAGCTTTATATTTAGCCTTTAAAAATGGATCAAGTTTCACACAGTGCGTTCTCGGGCCTCGCCTTCCCAGGCTTTCTTAATGAGGTCGGACGCTTTCTCCGCCGCCATTATGATAACAGATGTGGGATTGCAGTTGGGCAACGTCGGGAAGATACTCATGTCCACTACTCTGATATTCTTAACTCCATGTACCCTGAGCTGGTTGTCTATTACTGCCATGCTATCTTCAGCGGGACCCATCTTGGTTGTACCTCCCTGGTGGTTCTCTGCGCCTGTTTCCCTGCGCACGGCACAAGCAAAATACTCGTCAGAGCCAAAGTCAAAGCTCTCGCAACCTTTGACTGGCGTCGTGTCCACTGTGAGGCCATACTTCTGCATGGCCGGTGTGTTGGCCAACTTGATGCTCAGTTTAATACCGTCCACAAGAATGTCGACATCACGCTGGGTCTGCAGGTACGGTGGATACATGAGGGGATAGTCTAGAGGGTTGGAACTCTTCAGTTTCAAGTAACCTCTACTTTCAGGTATAGTGAGAGTTGGACGAGCCAACAGACGCCTCTTGGGACAGTTCTCAAGTTTACCTGTGCTCTCGCACTCCTCAGCTGCACCCGACCTGGAGCACTTCGCCGAGTATCCATTGAAGAATACCTAAAGAAGAGGATATAAATGAATAAATAGAACATAAATAAGGTACCCCCTCGTTGGTGTCTCCACCTTATCGTGGTGAGGGGGTTTGAGTATGCCAAGGACCCTGAGAGCTATACCAGCGGTAGCGAAGCTGCTGGCAGGGCCTCCCTTGCTGGACAGGTCAAAAGGTAGGAAACAGACGAAGATAAATACCAAAAACCGAAAACTGATGCCGGAAGCAGCGTCATCAGCAGCGACTTGAAGCACAGAGCAAATGATGCTCGAGATGGTTCAAGTTCGTATAGCAACAGGCGTGACCAGAGTGGTTTGAACGGCTGTTGTAATGCGATGTGGAAAGCAAATGGAAAAACTACCACATTAATGGTAGTTGTCTGACAGATTACTGATGAATGAATGGAACAAGGTATAGACATAAGAAAAAAGAACGAGTATTACTGATTTTAGGTTTTTTCGTTGCGGTTCATTGTTTGCAGATCGTGAACATGGGTGGCCTTGTTGACGTTTTGAAGGAACATCCTACCCTCATCTTGAAGCTTCTCCCCTTTAGACCCATGTCTCCCTTAACACACATAATTCCCACTTCAATTCCTTCTCATTCCCGTCGCAACCCCTGATCAGTGTGTATCCGTCCGCCACATTCCATGCTGCTCGATTCGCAGCAGAATAAATTAAGCAAAATTGTGCGAGGTGAGCTTTGGTTGGATGAACTTTTGGGAACACCATATTCAGATGGTTTCTGGTGCTTTCTATGCAATTTTCGAGGCCTGTTTCTTCATGTTTCCCCATCCTCTATCCCTATTATACGACTCAGGAGCCATCCCCTTCCATCGGATTCTGTTTGACGGGTTTTAAGGATCATAGTACTCAAATAAGCGAAACTGTCCCAGTTAATACAAATCCAGAAATCAGTGTCTGCTGAGACGTGGGCGATGTTGGTGTGATGTCTTCAGAAGATGCATTATGAGGTTGCCATTCATTGCGATATAACTTTCTGATCTTCGTCGCACAAAGATCCACAATCGGTGGAAAATTCCTGGTTTTACTCGAATTACCCAATGGTCAATCTCTACTCATTGTTGTAACACCTCTAAGCCATTGATCGGCTGAAATGTTTAGCTGTCCTCACAGCCAAAATCACAAAGGATTAGGTTCAGGAGAAGATGCAGGTTAGTTGCCTTGGCCTCCGCTTCCTACCCACTGTTCACCGAATGTTTGGTTCAGGTGCCTTGTGGCAATTCGGAGGTAATGAGGTAGTTCCTCATCATGCCTGAACCATAATTTTTCTATTGCTAGTGGGGTGGGACTAAGTCCCTTGTACTGCGGCCACTTCTGGCCTATTGTACCAGCCCCAGATGATAGGTGAGGGTGATTGTGGAGCAATTGGTGGAATGAAAATTAGCAGGGGAAACCGAAGTACTTGGAGAAAACCTGCCCCAGAGCCACTTTGTCCACCACAAATCCCACTTGACCAGACCCGGGATCGAAGCCGGGCCGCCGCGGTGGAAAGCCAGCGACTAACCGCTTGAGCTATGGCGGGGCCTTTGCCTGAACCGTAAGGGCTGTCGTTAATGAGGCACCTGTTCCAACAGTATTGATAAACCTTTTACCGGAGAATGATAATACACTGCGCCTGTTAATCTGATAGGCAAGACAACTGCTCATAAGCGTTTATCGCCCAAGATGCCTACCCTAGTGTCAAGTCAAATGCAAAATTCATCCATATCTCAGCAGGCACTGGTTTCTTCTGGACACGTGTTCATCACTTAAGCATTATATCACCTTCAAGCGTGTGTATCAGTCACTCGCTCTATTCATTAACTGCCCTAACGCTCTAGGAGTGCAGTGTAAATTGTTTTGTGTTGTGTTGTTGATGTAAAATTAACACAAGGTTTAATTGTCAAACACCACCTCTCGTAAAGTGGGGGGCCTTACCGTCCAAACACAGAGAATGTTCGCAACAGTGAATTGAAATTGAGTCAGGAATCCTAACGGGACTCAAACCTATGTATAGCACAACTGATTGGAAGGCGAGTTGCCAACTGCTGCTCTGCTAATTTACCTACAAGTCTTCAATTGCGCTGCCAACTACCATACAATCCAAGTATAGGATCCACATTAACATAGAACTAAGGCCGCACCATAGCTCAAGTGGTTAGTCGCTCGCTTCCCACTGCGGCGTCCCGGGTTCTATCCCGGGTCTGGTCAAGTGGAATTTATGGTGGACAAAGTGGCGCTGGGGCGGGTTTTCTCAGAGTACTTCGGTTTCCCTTGCCAATCTTCATTCCACCAAATTCTCCATCATCATAATCACCCGGGGCAAGTACAATAGTTCAATCAGTGGCCGCCGTGCCGAGTGGATCCAGTAGGACTCCACCCCCACTAAGCGAATTAAAAAAAACAAGGAACGAATATAAGAGTAAAGAGAGAAACGAAGAAAAATGAAAGATGGAAGCCAGAAAAGATTTTGCGAGACTGCAGCATACCAATATTTACCTGTAGGTCTGACACACCATCCTTAGCGTACTTGGATGTCATGAGGAGCGTAGTCTGGGTAAGTCCCGTGCTGGCCATGTTACCCGTGCGGTTTCCAATGAACTCTCTGAGAGATTCCAGGGTCAAAGAATCCGTGGCAGACTCGTTCATGTAGAAGCCAATAGATCCAGCTACGTGATTCTGCAAGTTCTGCCCAACACCGGGAAGATCGACGATGGTGTCTATGCCAACAACTTCCAGATCTTCACGCGGCCCCACTCCGGACAAGAGGAGCAGCTGGGGCGAGTTGATAGCTCCAGCTGAGAGGATGACCTCTTTGAGTGCATACACTGTCTGCGTGTTGCCCGCCTGATCGATATACTGCACTCCTCGGGCTATCTTCGTATCAGGATCAATCAAAATCTTGGTTACTTGCGAATTCACTGCAACCTGCAACATAATTCGAATAATGATCAAGTTTTCACATAGCTTTTGAAGGCTGTATGTAGAGGATAATAAAACTGCTTCACACTGTAGGCATAATGGCAGGTTATCCACACGTAACTATATTTTATTATTATAATTATTATCATTTTACGGCGTTCGTATCATCTCAAAATATGTAGGGCCAAATGTTAAAATGACTGGCGATTTTTTTCTATCGCTCCAACTTTGGTATACAGAGCTGATTTCTTACTTTCTTGATCTTTTTACAGACGGTAGGACTCCTCGGGCGGGTTATAAGCTCGACGCAAAGCCGCTGCCTANAACACAGAACATAAACACACACACATACCAAACATCCATGCCTTGTGTGAGATTCGAATCCACGATCCCGGCATCCGAGCGGGCGAAGACAGTACATGCCTTAGACCGTTCGCCTACCGTGATCAGCAGTGTATAAGAATAATATATAAGGATTCAGTTGGTACCTCACAGGAAACAGATCCGAACCCACGATCCCGGCTTCCGAGCGAGCGAAGACAGCACATGCCTTAGACCGCTCAGCTACCGTGACCGGCCGACTGGTGAATAATGAATTGTAAAGTATTTGCAAGGAAAGGGCGGTGGCCTAAGCAAAGATTCAAGCCGGGAACCTCCCGAATATGAAGCAGGATCTCAGGAGGAATGGAGCGGTTGCCTACACTGAAAAAGGAATGGCTATCATCAGAATAGGAAGAATGAATGTAGTGAAGTAAACAAAACAATATAAACAAACTCCGTGGCTTTAGTTCGCAAGCGAACTGTCCCGACCGAGCGACCGCCGCTCATCGGCGAAGTTAGTGCGAACTTTAGCTGATAGAGGGTGCCATGTGGTCAGCGCAACGAATTTCCACGGCCGTTAATCTGCTATTTCTTTGAAATAGCTCCTCAGTTATCCTCACGAGGCTGAGTGGACCCCGTTCTACACCCACTACTTCTCAGAAAATCTGGTAGTGCCGGGAATCGAAACCGGGACCTCTGGATCTTTAGCCACGAGCTCTGACCACTGGACTACAGAGGCTGTCGAATATAGTGAAGACGATGTAATATATAGGCACACTCGTTTTTCAGGCTAATAGACCTGAGGGATATATTAGAATGAAGAAGTGAAAGGTTTATGACGAGTTTCTGACATAAGTGAGTGCACTCACCTTGAGGTTTCCTCTTGTGTTGAGGAAGGGGCGCAGGTACATCCGAGCTGTGCTCGCTCGCAGGCCTTCGTAAACCATCATCTGGGCGACGCCCACTCCGGTCTGGTTGCGTCCGTTTAGGTCGCCATTTATGTACCCCAACTGCGTCCCTGCCTCCACTACCACATCGGCAAGAAGGGGGCGTGAAGGGAATTGTTGCACGACCATGGGACCACTGAATCCATGGTATCCGGGTTCAACAAGCTCGGGGTTCAAATTATTTTCCGACTTGATGTAGTATGGCAGAAGTTCCTCTGAACTCCAACCCGGATTATCCTTACCCCAGTCGTCCAAAATTGAGGTATGGGGCCGCGTGTACATCATCCCTTGCATCCCTGTCAATCATTATTAGCAAAGTTGTAACCAGTCCAGGCAAATGTAATGGTGTTCGCAATGTAAAAGGGGCCTACGTCCAGCATTCCAGGAAGTTCCCTATTGAAGAGTAGGATATTTTGTGATATGGAGCAGGCACAGCTCAGTAGGTATAACGACTGGCTACGGGCTGGATGACCTCCTATCCTATGGATACCGGGGGCGCTTTCTCCGGAGTTAAACCGGCTGGGGCGTGAAGCTAACCACTCACCTCCAACTAATGCCGAGATCAATGAAACATGGGTCTATACATGCACTCCCCCATACACCTTCATGGCGTAGTGTTTAATTAGTTAAGCACAGGGACAACTTTACTTTTTAACTCTATTTTCTGGGAAATAACGCCGTGTAGTCCGTTGCAAGTCACCCGACGTTTCGGAGAAACATATCGCCTCCATCTTCAGTATCGAAGAATAAACGTAGGAAGATACCAGCATGAAAGCAGGTGGCAGCTAAAGATGGAGTCGATATGTTCCTCTGAAACGTCTGTTGACTTGCAACGGGCTACACGGCGTTGTATCGCAGAAGATAGAACTTTGCATGACCACCGCTGTTAGAACATCAATCCTACATAGGACCTGATCTTTCCGTTTAAGTTGTTTAGATTTTTGCAACCATATATTTATATTAATGGGTGTTAGGTTGGGGAGGAATAAAGCACTGTAAAAACGAGGCAGGCATTCTTTGACAAGACAGTAAATTGCCTGATCTAGAAGTAAATACCGTATTTACGCATGTATAGGCCGCAGCACAATTTTCAGACAGAGATTATAGAAAAAATAATTTTCTTGGAATATTATTTCAGGAGTAGAACACCCTGTATTACTAATTATGAATATAATTTTTTTTAATGAAATGTGATTTCGAATATTTCGAATATAAGCCGCACCGCAGTTTTCCTCTTGAATTTTTGGCAAAAAATGTGCGGCCTATACATGCGTAAATACGGTACGTATAAGACTAAACGTATAAAGCATGACAATAAAACACATTTCATAAAGAAGTTGAATTACGTAATAATTCACTTCTTAATGCGCCACAGTTTAAGTAATTTTGAACAGTGCTAATGAGATGAAATATGGAGAAAAATTGAGTATTTAAATGCTCATCCTTTTAACGCACGAAATCTCTTAGAATTGTCTATGTTTTCTAGTTCGTTGAAAAATAGGATACAAAAAACTTTAATTTTTACGCTTACTTGTATATATATGATATACGTATGGGGTCTATATTTTCTACTTAGTTGAAAAACAGAATGTAAAAACCATGAACTTTTATATTTATTTTGCATGGGTGTGATATATGTATGGGGTCTCTTACTTTGAGGGTGCAACGTATAGTAGATCCCCAAAAACTAGAACTAGCTCGAAAATAACTGAAGCTGCGAAAGATTGAATTTGTAGTCAGTTTAGGATTCTGCATAATGATGAACTCAGTGATTTGTATATCCCTTGTACTGGTATGCTCCATTCAACGTGGGAAAGACGGGGCATCATTGGCAGTTAGTGACTTAGTTTGCTACGTCATCATTAGAAAGGTGCTACACGTTCTTTTCAAAAAATTTCTTGTACTCCTAAGCCCTTGGGAAGTTAATATTTACCTGGGAATTTTCTTCTGTAAGGTTGCCTGCACGAGACATGACGTGCTATAGCTCATAAAAGAGATGAACTTTAAAATAAATTAAGGCATCTGCAACGTGCTAGTAATAACTCCGAAATTGGTAACACACAAAATACATACCGAGTTTTGGCAGGGAAATCTCTTGAAAAATGTCCAGTTGAAGATAGATAAACTTCAAAGATAATTAACAAATTTCATAGAGCTCAACCCTTCTTAGGAAGCCGCCAATTTTGAAGATACTCAAGACCTTCCCAGCATTTTATGTAACCCGAAGGTTCATTAGAGTGTTCACAAGATCCCTCCACTGGTCCCATCTTAAACTAGATCAATGCAGTCCACACCAGCCCATAACATTAACCTAAGATCCATTTTAATATTATCCTAAAACTTACGTCTTGGTGTTCCTAGAGGTCCATTCACTTCTGGTTTTTCAAGCAATATCATATATGCATTCCTCTTTTTCTCCCATTCGTGCTACATATCCTGCCCATCTCATCCTCCTTGACTTGTTCATTCTAATTATGCTTGGTAAAGAATACAAGCCTATATAGTACTTCTTGAATTCCCAGTACCAAATATCAAATTTTGTACGTTCCGTATGATTCTTACAGTACGCCGTGATTATTTCCCTAAACAGCATTAACCGGTTGGGCTTTCTAGCTGAGACGTAATGTGTTTCCTGTGAGGTACGGACTGAATTTTTATATATCCTGCATTCTGCCCACAGAGTGTATCTGTGTGTTCCGCATGGTTGTCACAGTAAACAGCGACTGTTTCCCTAAACAGCATTAACCGGTTGGGCTCTGTAGCGGAGACGTAATGTGTTTCCTGTGAGGTATGGACTGAATTCTAATATATACTGCATTCTGCCCACAGAGTGTATCTGTGTGTTCCGTACGGTTTTCACAATAAACAGCGGCTGTTTCCCTGAACAGCATTAACCGGTTGGGCTTTGTAGTGGAGACGTAATGTGTTTCCTGTGAGGTACGGACTGAATTCTTATATATCCTGCATTCTGCCCACAGAGTGTATCTGTGTGTTCCATATGGTTCTCACAGTAAACAGCGACTGTTTCCCTAAACAGCATTAACCGGTTGGGCTTTGTAGCGGAGACGTAATGTGTTTCCTGTGTGGTACGAACTGAATTTTTATGCATTATTCAGCAGAAATTCACTCTTTAAATATTTAATATACAGAGGATGTCTTTTTGTATTTCTCGAGAGTCTGAAAAATTTACGAATGTGACATATCATCCTATATTTCCAACAAACTTTTTTTCCTGTTCTATTTGTGCTTATACAAATTGTCAAGTGTTTAGGGGTGCGTGACTTTAGATGCGGTTTGTATTGGTGAACTGAATTTATTTATCACTTGTACACTCCACTCAGAACTACAGCGCTATCGCTGATCTACAGATTACGGTTCACCGTTAACACACACACTAGGGTTCTTAGTCTTCACTAGTCGTATCCTGACAACGGATTTCGACACAGTATTTATCTTACGTAAAGTCTTCTTTTCACAGGCTGACTTTCAAATCTCAACTAAACTCGTTGCCATCTCTTCTGAGTGCCGCCTGAAGAGACCCCTTCAATTCTACCTCAGTCAAAGACAAAGTCACATTGCGACTGACTATCAGTCAGTCAGTTAAGTCTTTGTGTCGAGCCCCGTCTGGGACTCATGATCAGATATTTATTACTGTTAGACAGTTACAGCCTTGTTTTGTGGGGCGCTCTCTCTGACGAGGGGACGAGTCTGTCTTTTGTATATTCTGCTGGCCTTGGCCATCGCAGTCTTTCTCATGTCATAGTCCCTTGGGTCTCGCGACCATGTTTTACTGTCTCAGATTTGAGACTTCCCTTTCGTCGCTTCCTAGGACTCGCAGGGTCACCGTGGAGGTATTTGATGCCGCCGGCTTTGGATCCTCGTTATATAGCCTCGGGGAGGACCCAACAGAAAACACCGGTTCCATCATTATAGTCAAACAATACTTCGATTGTTGCTTACGTCTCCGTTGTCGTAGGAACCTGTTTACTAAGTCATTGCCTAGTAATGAACTTCTACTCTGGCTTTCAGACGTCATGTCACAATATAAATGTTTGATTTTCGTATTAATGCATCAGCGTCTCTCGTCCTGTCGCATGTATGTTGTTAATTACTAATGGATTTTGATTAACATTTAAGTAAAATATAAGAAATATAAATATATGGGGGAATAGCTCAGTTTCTTCTAGTCCAGATTTATCTTCACATTTCTTATCACCTATGATTAACCCAATAATTTTTGGAAGTAAATTCCAGATAGCTTGTACCACCTACAAAATAGTTAAAACCAAATCTTTCGTTAACACCCAGCAAGTTAAAAGGATATCCTTCCAGTGCCTGTTTCAGCAACTTGTGTTCGTTTTTCGACGTTTGATATGTCAGACTTTAGAAGTCGAATCAGAAACTGCAGCTAAATTGGCTGATAAATTGGGTAAGATGAGAGTATGATATTACAGAACGCCACCACCTTTGTAAACAGTAGCTCATTAGTGAGCTCATAATAAGGCATCAGACAGTGATTGAGAATTGGAACCGGCAAACGTCTGCACATATCAAACACAGCTGCCAAATTGTTGTTGCAGACAGACTCGTGTCAATGTAAGCAGCCATCTTAGTTAATACAAACCATTTAGTCCCGCGGGATTGTGGGACTCCTACATTTCTCGTACACTCTCGCTAGCGATACTGTACTCACACACAGAATTTGGTTTATGTTGTCCCGTGTACGAGTTATTATATACAAGGGGTTTTGGATTTGACATCGGATTTATTGGCAATTTACAGGTCGTAACTAAAAATAACCATAACACTATCGCTATTTCTACACTGCAGTTTCTTCACTAGTCGTTTTCTGGTAACGGTTTCTAACAATGGTCATTCCTAATCTTCCGGACTCAAGTATTCTCTTAATGGCGGCTCCATTCCAATTACCTGCCTTCCCTACAACTGGCTGGCGACCATTTACGCCAACCTCCTAGTCTTCTCTTCGTCGCCTGTCTATCAACTGCCTTTTTTATGTCACTTTTCTTTACAACTTCAAGTAGAGAAATGTCTTGGTTCTGCCAATTGCACTCCTTATAACCCCTTTACACATAACACGTAGAAAACACAGCTCTTCTATCGTTGTTCCAATCATCTCCATGGGAATATGTCTACGAAGGCGTTACCTAGCAACGGCCAAATATATTTGCTAATTAAAAAATGTGTTGCCTATTGGCGAATGTTGTTTGGTTGCCCGCCTCGAGGCCGCTACGCAGCAACGGCTGTACACGCTACAATATATATTTTGTTGGCCTAAATAAAATTTTTTCTTCTCCCCTTTACAGAGCAAAAGCTATCTTAATCCAAGATTTTCTTACAGCTTGGAGCAGGTGGATAATACCTAAAGACGAGACGAAGGTACTCGCACATGCTAAGGATAAATATTGCAATTAATAAGCAAATTCGTGGTAACTGTACCTGAAGTTCCAGAGACCATTTTGCCTCGAGGCCATTTGCATCGTCCACCATTATTCAAGCACGCCTGTGACGATGGCTCAGTAACGTATTTCCAGTCAAGAACAGTCCCTACGGCGCTCACTGAAAACGCAGGCACTGATGTTATGCTGGGTTCTTCTGGACCTGCAAGGCGAAAAAGAGCCACAATTAAATTAACTATGGTACAACAAATTCCTTCCCACACACAGCTTTGAATTTCTCGCATCTCTCACTATGAATGGTTCTGCCTTATGGGATGTAACACCGTGTAGTCGGATGAATATCAACTGATATTTCGGAGCAGTATATTGCATTCGTCTTCAGGATAGAAAGAAAAGCTTGGCAACATTCTGCATATTACTTTCTTGGCTTAGTTAGTTAGTTAGTTAGTTATTTAGAGAGGGTGGGTTTCTCCATGCACCGCGACCACTTTGATCTATTGTGCTTCCCTCTATGATATTCTACCAGTCTCTTTACCCTACCGATAAATGGTGCGTACCATCAATCCCGCCGAGCAAGCGAGTTCGGCCACGTGCTTAGCGGAGTCTATAATGCTTCCCCCATCTATCAGAGGCCTTAGAGGCTATTGTTGGGCGGGAAACGTCCAGGAATTTTGCTCAGTGATCCTCTTTGGGGATATGAGGTTCTTTTACGTGCCGTAAAGTTACGACACGGGACACACAGCTTAAAGTCCCTCCCGGAGGACTTGTTCCCTGAATTTTTACGCCCTTAAAAATTCGACGACCTCCGCCGGGTATTAGAACCCGCGTACTACGAGTCATGAGGTGGGAACGTTACCTCTAGACTACGGAGGCCGCTACTTTCTTGACTTACTATTAGAAGAAAAAATAGATAGTAGATTCTTCCGAAACGGCAGGAAAATTCAATTTGATTACTTGGCTTGTCACGTCCCAGGAGATAGTTCTCTTCATAGTCACTACCGTCAGTTCCTCAAATCTATCATTTAGAATCACTGATATCGTCTTCAATTGAAATTGTTTTAATGCATCTACACGAAACGAAAGTGAAATTAACACTTCAGATTTTAGGAAAATAAGGTCAAGCTATCACTGTAACAGGCAGTGGAGGCCCATAGGCTTATGAGACGTCGTGGCTCCCACATTTTATTTACACAGTCGACTTAAAGATGGCGGGAAGTTTGTCAGCTTTATGCGCCGGCCTCCCTTTCCCTCCAGGAAGATTCCTGGTACTCATTTCTGTTAGAGGCTGAGTCGACCCCAGGGCCATAGTGCGGATGGAAGGATTAGGTAAATCGAAAAAATCCACCTCATCGAGACTCGAACCCACGACCTTCCGGCTTGTAGCATAGTGCCTCAACCACCTACGCTACCGCGTGACCCCCCACATTTTAGTACACACTAAAATTTATAAAAATCCGTTAATCGGTTTGCAGATAAATGTATGGTATACGTGATCTTTCGTTTGTTTATGACGTACGTAGTATGTACCGGAAACGTATATTGTTACGTATTTTATGAAAGTTTTTCCTTTCCTACAGATACGTGTAACATGTGTTGAGTTACCGGTTGTAATTGAAAGTCAATGACAATTTTTTTTGATAATCTGTAATTTATAAATGAGCTTGCGTCCAAAAGAATAAGAATTTTAAAATATTTATACCGCTGATAATTCTTCGGTCTAGACCGCGCCATAGCTCAAGCGGTTAGTCGCTGGCTTCCCACCGCGGCGGCCCGGGTTTTCTCCGAGCACTTCGGTTGCCCCTGCCACACTTCATTCCACCAAATTCTACATCATTATAATCACCCGGGGTAGGCTACTACAGGCCAATCAGTGACCGCCGTGCCGAGTGGACCCAGTTGGACTCCACCCTCCACTAAGCGAATTCTTCGGTTTAAAAGAAGGTACTCCTGTTTTCAGGGAGCACGCGGTAGCGTAGTTGGTTGAGGTGCTACTCTACAAGCTAGAAGGTCACGACTTCGATTCCCGATGTGGTTATTGGATTTTTCAATTTACCTAATCCTTTCAGTCGCACTATGGCCCTGGGGTCGACTCAGCCTCTAACAGAAATGAGTACCAGGAATTAATTAAATAATTCTCCTGGGGAGTAAAGCGCGGCCGGCGCGTAAGGCTGACAACCTTACCGCCATCTTTGAGCCGATTGTCTTGAAAATGTGGAAGCTTCGACGTCTTACAAAGCTATGGGCCTTCACGGTCTGTTAGAGGGATAGCTTTACCTTTTTCGTTTTAGTTGGCTATTTAACGACGTTTTCCATATCGAAACTATATAACATCAGGATAATATCTTTAATATTTTCTTAATTATTGGAATTACTGCCACAAATTGTGCCACTGATTTCGTGCCTTCAGGTTTACTAAATGAGTGTCACGAAATTCTTAAGAGGAACTAGAAATAATTTAGTTATGTTGTGTTTTAGCGTCCTGTTGCACTGATTCGTATCCATAATGTGTATATATTAACCGTCTTTTAGTGCATACAGTTTCACTTGTCACTTCACACTACATGTTTCGGCATCATTCTGCCATCCTCAGGTACACACATACGTCCAGCAATACAACGCACGCAGCCACATAAGAAAGACACTTCATAAGATACTGTATTTACACAATTAAAACATAAGAACGACTCCCATAGCGGATGAATGGCATTACACACGAGTTTGATATACGACATGCAAGATGATAGATCTAAACAAGTTTTAATATATACATTTTATTACTGAATAACAACGAACACACGTTTTATATCATTTTATAAATGGACACTTGATGGCAGGCAGTGCAATGGTTTAACGTGATTAATACATCTGAGGATGGCAGAATGATGCCGAAACATGTAGTGTGAAGTGACAAGTGAAATTGTATGCACTGAAAGACCGTTAATATATACACATTGTAGGTGATTTAGTTATTTTTAAATTTTACTGTGTAATAATTTGGACGTACGAATATTACAAGAGTAACATGCAAGTTAATGTTAAGAAAAATCTGATTAAAAATAAATTATTTTCTTATCTTCTCAACGGATAAATGTTTTGAGTATACTTTTAGTTAAGTATGTTTGAGACTTTCAAATTATATATATATATTTTTTTTTTCAATCCCTGTGTGTCTTAAAATACTTTTATTTCTATTTTCCTTTTAGACAAGATAGACAGGGATGAATTGAGTTGAAAATGGTTTGAATTTTACTGAATTACTGACAGAATTTGAAAAAAAAACTTCTCATTTCTTGAAATATGCTTACGAATATAAAGAGTATTTCCTTGGATGTAATTCTTACAATTCGCTTAGTGAGGGGTGGAGTCCAACTGGGTCCACTCGGCACGGCGGCCACTGATTGGCTTATTGTACCTGCCCCAGATGAATATGATGATGGAGAATTTGGTGGAATGAAGATTGGCAGGGGAAACCGAAGTACTCGGAGAAAACCCGCCCCAACGCCATTTTGTCCACCACAAATCCCACTTGATCAGACCCGTGATCGAACTCGGGCCGCCGGGGTGGAAAGCCAGCGACTAACCGTCTGAGCTGTGGCACCGCCAATTCTTACACTTAGTTTCAATAATAAATTTAATACGAATATATTTTACGTACATTGTGGGTGATATTGAAAATTAAATAATTTAATTGTGTTTTCCTTGTGAAACATTATATAAAATAATTGAATACTTTTATTCGCTTTCATTTTCCGATTTACATTATAAACGTATGTTTCGGGCGACAGACCTGCTTCCAGTAGCAGGACGTTCCATTCCGAGAGCTCACTCAAACGAGATGCAACCACAGGACCTGCCACCCCGGCGCCCACTACAATGAAGTCATAATGATTGGTCGCCGTGTTTGGGGCAGTCTTGGCTCCGAATCTGCGGCAGGGGTCAGTGATGTCACATTGGTTCCTCAGAAGGTACTCCACCAAGCTCATGAACAGAGTGAAGCCAGCCCCACACACTCCGGCCAGAAAGGAGGTGTCGCTGAACGTGCAACCGCATGAAGAAACGTCCTGCAGATCCATCTTCTGAAACGACACATATGAAATTGAAGCAATCAGCTCTTGGGGCTGTTAAGAAAGCTACCGGTCTTGAAGACCACCACTATATTTCGTATAGTATGAAGGCACTTACCTCTGCACAGGTGAGGCCGCGCCATAGCTCAAGCGGTTGGTCGCTGGCTTCCCACTGCGGCGGCCAGGGTTCGATCCCGGGTCTGGTCAAGTGGGATTTGTGGTGGACAAAGTTGCGCTGAGGCAGGTTTTCTCCGAGTACTTGGGTTTCCCCTGCCAATCTTCATTCCACCAATTGCTCCACAATCACCCTAACCTATCATCTGGGGCTGGTACGATAGGCCAGAAGTGGCCGCAGTACAAGGGACTTAGTCCCACCCCACTAGCAATAAAACAAAAATACCTCTGTACAAGCTTACCGTCTTTACGTCATTGACCGTAGCAACTAAATGTTCACGTTAACCGCGAGTTTGACATTACTACGTTTGACTCAGTAAGATGGACTTTTTCTCCTATATAACTACATGTGTTCTTTTATAACATTTATGTAAATTGAAACATATATACACATATATCATAACGACATTTATATAGCATTTGACACTGGATGGTTGTTGTCCTGAAACAAGAGGAGAAGATGTAGACCCAAACTCAAGACAAAATTCTTCCTTCAGTTTGAGTAAACATATCAGAAAATATATTTAAATATTGACATACACTTGTGTGTATCTCCACATATAGGTTTTTCTTAGATAAATATAAGGAGGGGAATATTGAAGGATGGTTGGATAGGCAAATAGACAGAGCGAGAGAGAGAGAGAGAGCCTGTCCACAAATTCCAAAGCCAATTTCTGAAACGTCTTGTAAATTAAAGAGTCCTGTAAATCATACAATGGAATGGGTCATATCCGCCACAGGCCAGTAGCAGCTGGTATGTGCATTACTAATTGATTACTAAGAGGAACACCTAACAGTTTCCTTCTGACTTTCTGAGTAAAAGGTAAAAGATAAAGTTGTCTCTGTAACATGCTATGGAGGCCCATAAGGTTCTGAGTCGTCGAGGCTCCCACATTTTCTAAACAGTCGGATCACAGAAGGCTGTGAGGTTGTCAGCCTTACGCGCCGGCCGCCCTTTAGCCCCCAGGAATATTTCTGGTACTCATTTCTGTTAGAGGATGAGTCGACCTAAGGGCCATAGTGCGGCTGCAAGGATTTGGTAAGTAAAAAAATCCAATTACCTTATCGGGAACCGAAACCACGACCTTCCGTCTTTGTAGTACAATGCCTCAACTAGCTACTCTACCGCGTACCCCTGAAATTATGACTTTCGTGTGAAATATAGCATGGAGTAAAAGAATTATTTCTTTTCGCATATAATGTCGCGTAGCGCGTTGAAATTCAGCCGACGTTTTGGAGTAACATGATCTACATTTTCGAAGTCAAAGAATGAGTCAAAAGATAAATCAGCAAGCTCTGCTTGGTATCTGCTTCATGCCGATTTCCTAAGTGGTGGCTTTCTTTTGGTCCTGAACGTGGAGGCGATATGTTCCTCCGAAACATTTGTTGACATAAATGAGATTACTTGGTGATATAACTCAGAAGACGGTCTAGAAAACTGAGATTAACGGCCGTGGGGAACCGTTGCGCTGACCACGCGAAACCATCTATCCTCCAAAGTTGGCACTAACTTCGTCGACAAGAGGCGGTAGCTCGGTCGTTATAGTTCGTTTCCGGACTACAGGCGGCGGAGTGTGTTTTTTATATCTCAGAAGACAGGAGTCTTTATAGCCATTACTGAGGGGACCTCAAATCCAACACTGCAGGGAGAGATATAGTGAATTATGAAATTAGTTCCGGTTGTTCGATGGAGAGAACATGGCGATTGTACGATACATAGAGGATATGAGAGAAAAAAGTAGGTTTTCACTGAAAATTTATAGCCTTAATAAGGGAGTATGTTCTGTCTGGGTGTGAAACTTCATCTCTGACATTAAGGGAGGAACATAGACTGAGGGTGTTTGAGAACAGGGTGTTGGGGAGAATATTTGGACTGAAGATAAATGAAGTAACAGGAGGTTGGAGAAACCTGCATAATGAGGAGCTTCATAACTTGTACTCTTCTCCAAGTATAATTAAAATGATCAAGTCAAGGAGGATGAGGTGGTCAGGGCATGTAGCACGAATGGGGGAGAAGAGAATAGTAGCTGCAAGAGGAGTAGCCGGACAAGAAAGAAGAAGACGTTGCAAGAACAGCCTGCTAATAAAAGGAACGGGGATGTACCGTTAGGCTATTCGGGACGAACAGCTTTAAGGAGGGAGCAGTGTGACGTATTTGCTGTACGCAGGACGCCCCCTCCCCCACCAGCGGTGGCGTAACAGCGCTACCGCTGCTACGGTGACGGGCCGGGCAGCGTTCCGCCCCCTCCCCCGTGGTGACGTGGCAGCGCTTCCCACTGTGACATGGCAGGTGACAACAGTGACGTAAAGGTGGATGCCGCGGTTGCTACAGAGCAGTAAATAACTCTCAACAGTGTTGCTAGGCAACCTGTAAACACGGCGTCAGGCAACAGCGGTGCCTTTCACGTAATTGTTTTCTGTGTTGCCCGTGCCGAAACTAAATAAGGAACAGCGAATTCTATTCAGTTAGTAGTGAGTGATTAGTAGTGAGTAGTGAGTATTGAGCCAGTTACTAGAGAAAGAGTAACCAGTTAATTGCAGTGAAGTATTTGTGGTACTGCCGACGGCAGTAATTGTCAGATTGTAAATTGTGTGACTGTAAGAGCGAGGGTTCAATCAATTCGCTATATCAAATAATACGTGAAGTTATTTGTCGCGTCACATATACTTAACACGTGGCAATATATTGGTAGGAAAGAGACCAATGGGAAGACCAAGACGTAGGTGGATGAGTAGTATTAAAATGTATGTTGGAGAGATAGGATGGGGTGGTATGGATTGGATTGATATGACTCAGGATGAGGACCAGTGGAGGGCTTTTGTGAACACGGTAATGAAAGTTCGGGTTCCATAAAATGCTGGGAAATTCTTGAGTAGCTTCAGAATTGGCGGCTCCTCCAGAAGGGCTCCGCTCCAAAAGTAATTAAATAAGAGAGTATGTGTATGAACACATATTATTTGAGTTGAAGAAATGTAAATAACTCTGTTAATTTTGTAGTTCATACTACCCTCACTATATCGATAAAAGGCGTGAAAATAAAGCATGTTTAATATGGCCATATGAGATCTACTTGTTTTATGGCCGAATAAATACAGAGTTTTAGTAAGATATTAATAATGTTTAAAATTTAAAAGCACATTTAGTGCGATAAGATAAGCAATGGAACAAATTGAGAGTCAGACTCCATTTATTTATTTCTTTTTTATGTTATTTCGAGATGACCCTGTACCAAAATGGTAATAATTCAGCAGAGTTTGTGTTCTATGCTATTCTCAGTGTGAATTCGCAAGCGGATGAAACAAGAATATTGGCATATGTATAAGCCTAATTTAAACAGGCTGGCAGCGTCGAAGATCTAAATGGAACACACAGGATCCCGTGAAATTCTGAGGGAACCGTGAAATATATCAGCTTTTGGATATGGCAACATGTTCCTCAAATTAACGGAACATTTCGCTACATAGCACGAGGAGAAGATCAGTAATATTTGAGCGAAGATATTAATATTACGGTGTTCTGGTATTTGACGCCGTGTAGAAAGGGAGATAAATATCAGCATTTCGGAGAATCCTGCTGTGCATCATTAAGGTTCTGCTTTAATTACGAGAGCATTAATTACCTAAGAAATGTTGATATCTTACATGCCAGACTCTACTTCGTCTTAACCCAGAATGCAGGGCGATTTCTAAATTTAGAAATTTAGAAATCGCCCTGTATTAAAATCATAATATTCAACGTCTTTATATGCTCACATTAATATTTTCGCCATATGATATATTGTGACATGAGGCCTGAAAACAGGGACAGCGGAGCCAGAATATACGTTCTTTGCTAGGTAACGACTTGGTAAGCAGGTTCCCGTGGCAAGGAAACGTAAGCAACAATCAAGCTATGACGATAGAAACGGTGATTTCTGTTGGATCCGTCCCGACACTATATAGCTAGGATTTCAGGGCGGCTGAGGGGAGAGGGGTCTATTGAAGCTGTAGTCGAAGATGATTGAGAAGACTGGCAAGAAAAAATTTAGGTTGTGCAAAGAAGACTTCATTTGTGCTACAGTTACAGTGAGAGTGATATAATTACCATGCTGAAATCCGTTGCCAGGACACGACTAGTGAAGACTGAGAACAGTAGCGTGTGTAACGGTGGAACGTAAAATATGTATTACTTGTAATTGCCTGTAGTTCCGAGCGTTATGTATAAGGTGTCAATACAGCAATCAACCAATTCATACCCCATCTAATAGTCACCTGTTACAATATTATAAATAGGCCTAACTAACCAATCTGAGATTTTAGTCCCTAAAAAAATACAAAGAATATTAAAGAGATGGTCGTGAGTTGCTCTTATAAGCACGGAATTTCTAGGTATGTATTTCCCTGTGGAAGACACTATAAGCAAGAATACATATTTTTACGTGCCAGACAATAGCCCTTTTCCAGAACTTGAGAAACTTTTTAATATCATCTTTTAACAATATTGCACACATCGTTACATATTATATTTCAGTATCCTGTTGCATTGTGGCATCATTTTTAGATCGTAAATGTATATAAAAGACACTAAAAATTATTTAAAACACTGAAAGTGTTTGCTAAATATTAAAAATGTTATTAAATTTATACATGCATTACTTATTGCAACATTATTCAGCCACACACGGGCCATCATCAGGCAACATTTTTTATATTGGGGAGACCACTGCACTGTGCCTAAGGGCACAGAAGACAAATAGCACAGTGCGATGATCTCCCCAACAACAACAAAAAAGTTGCCAGACGATGGCCCGTGTATGGCAACAAGGATTGAATGTATAATTTTAATGACATTTTAAAGTATTTAACAAGCACTTTTAGTGTATTAAAAAAACTGTGTCTTTTATATAAGGTAATTATTTCATTATAGACGGTATACTTGCGATATAAAAAGACACACCGTTACATTTCGACAAACAAAAAAGAAAACTCCTCCAGCAAGAGAACTATACCGACCGAGCGACCGCCGCTTGTCGGCGAAGTTAGTGCCCACTTTTTCGGATAGAGGGTGTCACGTGGTCAGCGCAACGCATCCCCACGGCCGTTTATCTCGATTTTTTAGACCGGAGCCTCTATTTCGTTGAAATACCTCCTCAATTATCCTCACGAGTCTGAGTGGACTCCGTTCCAGAGCCAGAAATTCTGGTAAAGCCGGGAATCGAACCCGGACCTCTGGATCTATAGGCAGAAACTCTGACCACTAGACCACAGAGGCGATCCACATTTCGACAAAGCTTAACGGAAATCATTGGATGCTCCGTTCTATAATAATTGTGTGTACAGAGTAAAATACATTTGTTAGCTTCCGCGTGTAGCCGAACTCATTGGTTCCTCAGCAGCGAAGAGAAGGAACGAGGATAACCGTAGCTGCTGCTGCCTGACGCATGTTCAGATCTCATGGCTACAGTTTAATTACAGGTTCTATGTATGCTGAGTTGCAAATGGAGCTCATGCACCAATAATTCATCGAAAATAAATTATGCACATTTACCTGCAAGTCGAAATTCTTTTCCTTTTCCTATTCTATATTGTAGTACTTAAAGAATTACTGCATTACATTTCGAAAGAAAAATAAATGTATTTTCGTATGGGAATCCTACGAAATATTTTCCATGAAACTGTCTCCTAATAACTTAAAAATTGAATGATGCTGTTTCTTACCTCTCTTCTGATGTACTGGATACAGCAATTGCTTGCAGCTGCCAATTTATACAATTCTGGACACTCGCCGATGTGGAAGAACAGCTGTGCAACCAATGATAGGGTGAAACTAAATATAGTAAACGGAAGAATGGTTAGCTGCAACATCGGCCTAAGGGGCATATTTATAATTTATAAATTTTTTATTTCGATTATATATTTTCCAAATTTGTTTCTATTATTATTATTATTATTAGGAAATTGCCGTGACGAAAAAATTAATAATAAAAATATAATTTGACAAATATTAAAAATTTACATGTATATTGAAAAGGAGCATAGTTTCAGGAAACTATTAAATATTACTGTCTCTTTGTATGTGACGTCTCATAATTTGGTAGTGAACTTTCGGAGAAACCTGCTGCTTCCATTTTCAGAGTAGAAGAGGGGGCTGTAAGAGCGAATTTCCATTTCTGCTCATGCTTCCACATTGAGACCTGCTATGGCGCATGCTCAGCGTGTATAGTTAGTGCCTCGTAACTTTAGCCGCGCAGAAAGGTAAACGCTGTTGTGGAGCACGCGAAGCTGTACGCTTGCTGTGGTGACGTTCAGAGCTACTCCCCGAGCGCAAAACATTGCCTACGCAGACCAGGAGGAGATACACAACGTACTATACACCTGACCACACTCCAAGACGCTACATTCCAAACTGGTAGTACCCACGCTGACGTAAGCTGATAAGACTGCTCCCCCAGCCCCGCGAGAGATGGTATGACCCCTCTACCGCGGCTAGAGTTCCGAGGAACTAACAGTACCGTCCTCTACTCCCCCCGGAGTAATCTGCAGGACCATGAAACTAACCACTCACCTCGTAAAATTTTCATGGCGCAGCACTTAATCACTTTACCAGTTGACCAGGGACTACATATAACAATTTGCTTGAAGAATGACGTCTTCTGGGATGTGGCGCCATATATATCTTCTGTAAACCTACGTTTCGAATGAAAGTATCTTCTCCAGTTTCAGGGTAGAAAAATCCGCGAGATAGGAACCAGCGTGAGCAGGTGGCTGCAGGAGTTACGTTCCTCTGAAACGTCGGTTTACACAAGATCTACACAATGCCACGTCCCAGAAGACATCATTCTTCATAGTCACCGCTGTGGAAACCTCAAATCTTACATAACACTTTGCTTATTTTATGGTTACTGTGGACAGTGAATATCACATCACAGTTTTCTATATAATTTTAAATAATCAGTTCAGGTTAAAGAGATGTTTCAGAGTGAGGAGTTCTTAGCTTTTCACCCATTAAAGAAACTTGTAGACCACCCCTTGTCGGTGTTCTCAGATCGCTTATTCAGTATATTCGCAGCTACTTTCCATATATCAAGGCCGTTTCCAGCCGGGTTTGAAGGGTCACCGTGCTGTGGTGATAAGGTTGAAACTGGCTTTAGAGAAGATAAACTACAGGGACTTACCCGACCGTAACCTTAACACAAGTTACTACCACAGGCTGGTGATTACAGGAGGCTTGAAGAGATTTTTTATAAAAATGCCACTTATAAAATAAATATTTTCTGCGATAATAGAAATATATATATATATAGTCATGAGAATTATAGCAGAACGAACTT